AAAATAATTACCTAAAAATAATTAACTACATGCCTAAGGCAATTATCCAAAAATAATGACAGATCTACCAACAATGATCTAAAAAGAATTATTTAAATTAGTGAACTAAAACAATGATCGAAAAGTAGTTCATTAATATTTATGTAAAAGTCTCTAAAAGTTTGTAAATAATTTACTATTATTTTTAAACCAGCATCTATGTTATTTAAAATGATCTAAAAAGAGTACTAATTTAGACACGTTACTTTTTAGCATATTTAGCATATCAGAGCCCAAAAAATTTCAATTTTTAGCTCTAGTCTGTCTAGTTTTCCTTTATGACACCTACAACTTGTAACTATGCAAATTGGCGCTACATAGGTATCTCTTCTCAGGCTAGGTTGTGTTCTTCAATCAGGTGATCAATCATGCAGTCAATCAATCAATCAGCTCAGCAAAAGTGCGTCATATGAGGTGTTATAAACGAGCGCAAAAAAAACAAGTAAGAAAGCTCTAGTCGAGACTGCTCGACTACGAGATCCCCTGAACCCTTGGAGTGTTAGCTATTTCAATCATTTTTCGCGTCTTTCAGCTTACACAAGAAACACACACACACACNTTTTAATGATAAACTTGATATGCGCGCTGTAATTACGGACATTTTAAAAAAAATTTGAAGTCTCTAGCTCTTATATCTTCTGAAATCGACGCGTTCATACATACGGACAGACGGACAGACGGACAGACGGACAGACAGACGGACAGGGCCAAATCAACTCAGCTCGTCACCCTGATCAAGAATATATATACTTYGWGGRGTCTGCCACGCCTCCTTCTCCCTGTTACATACATTTCAACAAAACCATTATACCCTGATTTCCCATTGAAAATGGGTTCAGGGTATAAAAATCAAAATTGAGAAACCCAACTCGAATTTTACATGTGTTGGCCGAATAGATTGTGTACGTGTGTGAGTGTATCTATATGAGTGTGTGTGTGTGTGTGTGTGTGTGCATAATATGTGCCCTGTCTATTGCTCGATTATAATTCTCTGGCACTAGAGTCTCACTTCACAGTGTCTCTGTCAGCTTTGTGTGTTTTGGTTGTTGTTTTTGTTGTTGTTTCGAGGTATCAGAGCGCATGAGTTCATTCTGTGTCATGTTGTAGCTGCTCTGCAAGTGTGTGTGTGTGTATGTGTGTAGTTGGTCTGTTGGCTGTGGACTTGCCTTGGCGGCTGCGACTGCTGATTGGGAATCGCCAGTTGGGCGACTGTTGAAGAGCTTTGCCAGTCGCTGTGAGGCACGCAGATACTTTTACACACACACAAAGAGAGAGATACACACACACACTCATACATTTGCTATGAATTTGGTTTTATATTAAGCAGTCGAGTAGCTCTACAGACGATCGCAGACTTGCGACGCCAATGAAAATATGCTGTGAATGTTCAGCTGCTGCTGCTGCTGCCGCTGATGATGATTGTCGTCTATCTGTATCCGTGGCTGTGCAAATGTATCTGTGGGCAGCAACAATCTATCTATGACTGAGTAAATGTATCTATAGCTATGACAATGTATGACTATGACTATGCGAATGTATCTGCACTTGTATTGAAATGTATCTTTAGCTGTGTATCATTGTAAAAGTATCTGTAGCTAAAGTAAATGTATCTATAGATATGTTAATGTATCTACAGATATGCAAATGAATTTATGTATACTGCTAATGCATCTATGGCTCAGCTATAGTTCAGTATCTATAGCAAATGTATCTATGATTGCCAAATTGTATCTGTCGGTATTAGGGTAAATGTATCTGTATCTAAGAAAAAGGTATCTGCATCTCTGGAAAAGTATCTACATCTCTAGTAAATGTGTCTGTAATTGTTCTTAATGTATCTGCATTATTGTAAATGTAAATGATGCAATGCAAATGTATCTATAGCTATTGCAATGAGTATAATCTATCTATAAACTTGCTCAGAATTGCTAAAAGTGTAATTGTAATTGCTCTAAATGTATCTAAATGTAGTTGTGCATCTAGTAAATGTATCTATAGCCACTCAAATGTTCTCCCGGCTATTCGAATCTATCTTTGCTCTATTTGTATTTGCCTATGCACAGCCGTGGCAGCTGTTGGCCGCTAGCCGATGGACTTGCGTCGCAGCTAGACAGCCGCGAGACAGCGTAATGACGTGCCTCAGTGCATTCGGTACCTGTGCAAATCCCGAGCTCAAACTGCAGACAGGCTGGCATCATTAAACCTGACAGATTTTAGCGGGTAAAAACCCATAAAAATCATCAATAGAAACTTCAATGCTGAGCGAAAACCTTAGCGCCAAGAGAGAAGCGAATCGAAGCCACTTGACTGCCAGACCTAAGGGCAGCGGCAGCAGCGTCAGCCGGGCTATTAAGAGGGCTTAGGCAACTCAGGTAGCCAGCTCGTCGAGGTTCTCAATTGCTTCTGCGGAAAAACCCAGCTGTGAGTGAGCCATGGCAACGGCTAAGGCTTTGGCTGTGGGTGTCAGGCGAGTTATTGCAATCGCATATCCTTGCACCTTAAGCAACTGCCCGATCCTAATTAGATTTGAAGTGTTCTCGGAAAAGGGCTCGAGGGCTGGTAAACAATATTAAAACTGTTTACGAAATTAAGAGAGAAGAGAAAGCAAAGCTGAAGTGGTTCAAGAAACTGCGAGAAGAGGTGGGAAAAGGTGTAAAATTTGGACGAACCGATTTTGATATGTGAAAAAATATGAGATGTTAAAAGTTGAGAATTTCAATACATGTTTAATTTGCGAGGAATTTATAGAGAATTAAAGAACTATAGTCAGAATAGACCAATTAACTATGGATGCTATAAAGCAATGTATCGCCTTTCAGTTCAGTTGCATTGGCATTTCCATTTGAACATGAAATCAAGAAATATCCTCTCTATAATTTAAAGTTCCATATACCAGTCATATTAGTATATACATATATATTTATATATACTACTATATCTAAATTTGACACTAAATTGAATTATTCTCGAATTTGTCTTCCAACTAAATTTGATTTATTGTTCGCGCATCTTTTTGTTGTTGTTTCTTAATTGCCGAACTTTATCAGAAGGTACGAATTTGTTGGGGCCAATCTAAATTCCATTGCCCTGCCCCCAGCTATATACAAACACACACACAGAGACATGCATACATACATATATGTGTCTTTATTGGTCTACATACATATACATATATCGTAACGTATCTACGTCACGTAAGCGCTTATCAGTGGCTTTGATAACGAAAGTGAAATGGCAAAAGCAGCTGGCAGAATAAAATGCGAGCTATATACATAAATACACACACGCACACACACACACACACATGTATATGCATACATACACACATTTATATAGCTGGGAACATCTAGTACGCCGTGCTTAAGTCATAATCTCTTGTTGATATGCGTATTAAATTCTTTCAAAGTGTGCGTGAGTGCGTGTGAATGAGCAAATGTGGGGATAGGGAATATTAGTTTGTTGAGGCTGTATGTAACAGAAAGATACATGCATATCGCTAGATAACTATATGCCATGTTTATAGTAAGATAGATCTAATTATATTTTTAGATAAATATAGAAATATGAGTTTATATATATTTTCATTTTCTACCTGCATATCTCTCTCTTCCTGAATCTATTTCATCACTCATTTGGCTCTCTGCCTTTCTCTCTCTCTCTCTCTCTCTCTCTCTCTCTCTCTCTCTCTCTCTCTTGACATTAGAAGTAGACAGAAGTATAGTTTCTCTCAGTATCTCTCATTATCCCTCTCTCTCTCTCTTTACTTTCTTCTAGAACCTAATGTGCTTGTTAGAGCATCTACTAGTCGCACATGCCCCACTTGTGCGCACCGACTCGTTCTTTTCCATAGGCAACGCATATTGTTATTATTGTTATTCTTAATATTATTATTATTTCATTTATTTATTTGTTGCGTTGCGCTACGCTGCGTTGGATGTGCGTACTTCTATCATGAATCACGCCATTCGCGTTTTTATCAACTTCTATTTTATGCTCGCATTTATATACGCATGTGTATGTATGTATGTGTATGTATGTATGTGTATGTATGTATGTGTTGCCCATATCAATATTGTCGAGCATTGACATATATATAGTATATATACATAGCATTTAAATAGTCGCTCGTCTCCAAGTGTAATTGCCCCAGCCATAATAACTGTATTAAATGGTATTGAATATCAAATAACGGGTCAGACTACCGGAGGGTTGGACGAAGTGGGGCCAAAAAAGCTAGAAGAAGAGCGACAAGGAATGGGCTGACATAGAAAGTTCGACCTAAGCTGGGGCGTACTACGCCTTTCCCTGATAACGCACCAGGGAAACAACAAAGGACAAACCGAAACCCAGCCGAAGGTCAACGATATAAAATTATAAATAAATAATACAAATAAATAAATACATAAATATATATTTGTGCGTATACAAAATAGCTGAGCCAAGTGTGGTAGTTGATGAAATATTGTTACAGTATTCGATTTTCTTTGATTGAAGATTATTATTAGAAATCATCAGTTGATTAAAATACAGAAATCCCGCAATCAAAGTCAAAGTCAAGAAACATAATAGGTAACTCCAAGGCATTTTTCTAGTTCTTCTGGATTGCGATGGGTGCTGATCTTCAATCATTCAGTCAATCAATAAACAGTAAACAGTAAAGTATATAGTTTAGTAAGTATGGAAATGTCATAACCTAGCACTATAATAAATCAGACTGGATTTTATTCCTAATTCGACATGTCAGACTAATTTATATTGATTTATATTCGAGCTTTCCAATACTCTTCAATCAGTCAATCAATGAGTTGATTTTGCCGATGATTCAGTGTGACTCTATCTCTAGCCTTATCTGCGATAGCCCCTAGAGATAGCAAAAGCCCTGACTTTGAAATATATCAGGCGAGACAATATAAGGCATTCGAAACTCCCATAGATAATACGATGAATGATCCAAAACTTACCTTTCAATTTCTCGCGCGTTGACTCCAAAGTATTTTTACGAGAATTAACAGTGGATTCTGGAGATAGAGAGAAATAGAGAGAGAGAGAGTTTAGTATATCTGTCTAAAAATGTTATAGATTATATAGCTTATAAAAATTCCTGAGTAAAAATTTATTTTTGATTTATAGCAAATGTGTATATTAATAATATACTTTTATACCCTCTAACTGAATTCTAAGTAGAGTCATTCCTTTATACAGATATTCCACTATATATATCTTGTACCATACAACGATTTTCAATATTACCCCAATTTTGACTAGCTCTACCCCAGCGACGCGAACAGTGAATTGTATAAAAAATTGGCTATAAGTAAATCTATTTAAACTTTTATTCAGACTAAATGTCGAGGCCCCACGCATTGACACTGACATTTCACTCTGTGACGTCAGATATATGTATGTGTGAGTGTGATCTACACACATTCGTGTATGTGTGTGTTTTTAGTGAGCAAATGTTGCTAATTTTCCATGGGCAAACGCAGAAGGCCAGTCAAAGCAATATTTAAGAAAGATCTAAGCAAAATACATATAAATTATAGAGACAGACATGCAAATGTGTATGTGTACATATAGTATATTATATATATTTAATATATATGTACTTTTACTTTTATTTATTTATATATGTTTTGCTTGCAAATTGTTTACAAACGAATTTCTTGGCTCAATTTGCTAATTTTAAACGTCTGCCCAAAAAAAAAAAAAAATAAATACACTTGAGTACTCAAGTATGTACATACCCACACACACACATACATACATGCTTATAGTATACCAGTGTGTGTGTGTCTTCTTTCTTGTCTGTGCCAAAACGCATAGACAATGTTAAATGTTCTATAAATAAAATCGCAACGCTGGCAAAAAAATTCCCAAAACAAAACAAAAAGTACCAAAGGAAATTAGAAAGGCCCAATTAGTCGCATAGTAAATGCCCTTTATCTAAACTCTATATGTATGTATAAAGTGACAAAGCTCATGTAACTGAGTTCGAAGTATGATACTGTATGTATATATAATATGATATCTCCTCGTCGAGTTGCTCATGAATTGAATATACTCTGTACCAGGCGCTCATAGCTAAGCAGACGTGACAAGCGCTTTGTTTAGTATTGGCACAGGGTATTCATAAGTTTCGGTCAGCCAATTGCGAATGACGCACTTTTCCAATGAACGGCACATTCCACTGTCTCATTCTCATAATGTGCCATTTCCAGATGTTGCGCTCACTCCCGACCTTTCTCTGTCTCTCTCTCTCTCTCACTGTCTTTGTCAATTGCCTATTCCGCTTGACTGGGCTGCGCAGTTGACTTTTGCACAATTCTTTTGCTGTTGCTGTTGCGCTAATATGATAACAGAGAATGCACACATATGCATGTACATGTACGTGTGCGTGTGTGTGTAGAAAAGCGCGTAATTACAAAATACAGCGAGATTAACGAGTCTTATCAGCTCAGCACAAGCTGAATTATTGTCTTGCTCAATTGTGAAGTACACTCAAGAGTGTGTTTGCTTGCACAAGTATTCACACGCTCACACACCATCAAAGTGTAATCACATTGAGCTGCACTTTGAACGCGTTCACTGATAAAACATAACTTTAGAAATCGCCTTAAAGTATGCTGCTTGCTTGAAAAGTTCGTTAAAAACGAGTTTGTGCGCATTGGCGATGCCCTATAAATAACTGTCATTAAGAAAAAATATACATTTACACACAATTTATCTAACGCTAAAGCTCACGCAATCATTGCTTAGTGACGTCACATGCTCAAATATAGCGCGAAGCGGAGCTCACACATACACATCGCTACATAGAGAGAGAAAGAGCGGCARAGAGCGTGCGATTCATGCTAATTGTTTTTTTTTTTTTTTTTACATTTGCGGCAGCAATTAGCAAAGGCCGAATATGTAGCAGAAGCAGCAGCAAAAAGAACGTAACAATAAGCGGCTTCCCCAGCACACGTTCACACTCACACAAACACACGACGCAGAAAGACGCACACAGATAGATACGACGTAAAACTGGTTGCGACGTAACCAGTTTTAAACTAAAGCACAAGAAAAGAGGCCCCAAAGCAAAAGCGCATGAGTCGCAGCGCCGATGACGACGACGACGTCGGCGACAGCGATGGCTTTGCCAATTTCCAGTCATGTTATTGTTGCTCTTCTTCTTGACTACTTTTAGAGCCTCTGCTTTGCTGCTGCTGTTGTTGTCTTGTGCCATGTAAGCTCATTTATGTATGTATTTGTATGTGTTGATGTGTATGCGTGCATTGATGCGCATGTTTCCGCTTTCGTTGGGCTGTCCCAGTGTCCAAACACGGTGAGAGACGCCAACAAGTCGGCGGTCATAAACAAGTGCGGCAGGTGGTAAAACAGCAGAGGCCAAAGCGGCGGCGAATAGCTCCTCTGCCTCTGCTGATGTAGCCGCTGCTTATTCTTCTTCTTCTGCTGCTGCTGCTACTCATTCTGTGAATGATGCGTGCGCAAAACGCGGTCGCGTTGTATGCCTGCTGCTACCTGCGTGAACAACTTCTTGTTCTTCTCGTTCGCCTGTTTCCTTGCGCCTGTCATTCGCAGTCGCCTTCCACAAATGCTGCTTGCCTGGTCGCTGCTTTAATTTGCATGCAGGCTCTTTTTCTTTTCTCTCTCTCAGCAGAATACCCTGTGCACGCGCTGAGGCGTGCGCGTTGCTTTGAGATATGTATAATTTAGAGACGTTATCTGATGATTTTATTAAATAAATATGTCGCGATTCGTGACTCAATGTTGTTCATGGAAATTCGAGTTACAAATAGAGACTTTTACTATGTTAATTCCACTTAGGGTTTGTAATTAGAATTGCATGTTATACAGGTATTTGCTTTACAGTTACAAACGAGCGTAGGTTGTCACTGAGTCATTCATTCATTCACTCATTTATACAACCTCGTTCCATAACTAAAGTTCAGACGGCAGCATTAAGTGACAGTTAACCAACTGACCGAGTCAGCGCGGGAGTTAACTGTATATCTCCACACAAGAGTCACAGTTAAATCTGCTGAAAAACAATAACAAAGAACGAGAGAGCAGCAGAGTAGAGGCAGCCACAACGACAGCAACAACAGATCAACATTGCAGTTGACGGAGTAAACGAGCAATTCCAATAGTTGATTTCAATTTCATTTACATGCTATTGCCGCTCTCTTACACACTCACACTCTCCCCTCTGTTCAGCTTTCACCTCTATCTCTCTCTCACTAGCTATCTCCATCGACTGTGTGTCGTTCCCAATTTAATCGGCTTGTTGCCTGTGACGTATGACAAGCGTAAAGCAGCCGCAGCAAATGAAATATGCGCGAAGCAGCACAAAAACCAAATGAAATGAAACGTTAAACGGCAGCAACAACAACAAAACAAAAGGAATGAAAGAAATAGCAGCAGCAGCAGCAACAGCAACAACAAAAAAAAAAAACTTTTTGCATATGCGCCTGTTGATTGCGTAATTAAACTGCTCGACTTTACAGCGGCTGCTGCTCCTCCTCTACAACTCTGTGTTGTTGTTATATTTATATTTTTATACTCTTTGCATTGTTTCTGCATAGCTCCGAATATATGTGTGTGTGTGCATTCTAAACGCAATATTCCTTGCTCTTTAGCTTGGAATTCGTAATAAAGTCAAACACAATCAAATAAAGCTGAACAAAAATGTGAAAAGTATAAGAATAAAAATGCATGAGCTACATTTATTTTTATTTTTATTTTTTTATATATTTTTTTAGTTCAGTTGCTGCCAATTTCTGCAGCTGCTTGCACATTTAATTGAAAGAAACATAAAAAGGCGAATAGAGAAATATGTATGCAAACGTGTGGGGCGCAACGGGTGAGAAGCGAACGGGGGCTGTGGCCTGGGCGGGCCAAATCCAGTTACGTTTACAGCTGCAACACAGACGGAATCAACGGAATCGGCATTGCAGCCAAGACCCACGTGAGACTTTGCGAATAATGCGCGGAATGTGTGCAAAGTGCGTGGGCCACACACAACTGCACGGGAAATAGATATGCATGAGTGTGTGTGGAAACGGAATGGGACCGGGGAGCAGGCGGCGAATACGAGCCGACGAATTGAAGTCACAAATTAGATTAGAATTGAAATTGAAGTGGTCGGAGCTCTTATCAGCAATTGCTAATTGTTCAGTTCTAGTAGATTCCACTCACTACTCACACATTCAAACACATACACATGGGCAGAGCTTGTGCTATTGAACCTTATTAATCATTCGCAGTTCGCCTAAATAAACTGTTTACAATTCTAATCATAGCTGATAGCCAAATCTTAATCAACAGTAAAAAATGTTCCATGGCAAAGTTATTATCATCTTAATACGTTTCAAGTAGCGCTATAAAAGGCGTTAAATTATCAATTTTATGGTATTTAAATACAAATAAATATACACAAAAACATACATATGTATATACACGAAAAAAAATATTTAAATTTTTTCTTATTGAATTTTTTCTTAAGTATTCCAAGACACAAAGTCATACAATTTCCCAGCTTAAGAATGTGCGTGGGAAATTTGTTACGTCCTTGCTTAAAATACCAATTAGAGTAGCCCGAAATGTTAATCGTTTGGCCACGCGATATATTGAAATGCAAATGCACAGATGCTACACAAACGTAAATGATTAACCCGTGCGACTACGTACAACACAGCCCACACAGGCATACTTACATATGTAAATGATGAGCAAACACAGTTAACGAGAATGAGATAAAATTTCGCACACACTGACTCTCATGCACAGACAAGCACTCACACAACTGTTAACAGTGGCTACTCACACAGCCACACACATGCACGCATATAGCAATTGACTATCCAAATCTCGTTCTGCTTCTTATTTGTTCGCACTACAAAAGCTCAAAGCAAAAAGCAAAAAGCGATGCCAAAACGGCTGACAGCGCGCAAAACGCAATTATGAAAATTTATTCACTTTAATGCTTAATTTCCTTTGAATTATACGTTGCTCACGT